AACTGGATCTAATATAGCAAAGACAAAAGTTGAAATTGAAAACCAATGGTTGGAATATATAAAAACAAAAACTGAACGTGACAAACTCAACGATGAAAAACATGCAGCAACTTTTGAGCAAAAAAAAGAAATATTAAAATTAAAAAAAAAACGTATTACTTTAAAAGAAAAGGAAATTGAACAACAAAAAGAATATTTTGCAGCAAAATTAAGAGAAAAAGAAAATAGACATGCACAACTAATGGAAATAGAAAAAGAAAAATACAAACTTTTAAAAAAATTAATTAAAAATGAAATTTCAGATTCTGAATAATTTTTAAAAACTTACACAGTTTTTGTGCAATTATAATTATTCATACAGTAAAATATAAATTTAAATGTAAATTGCATATTATTCTATATACAAATTCGTTATTTTTTGTATGTAATTTATATATTATATAAAATACTTAATTATTTCTTTTATTGTATGGATAAAAAAATATTAATATAATTTTTATTTTAAAAACTGTTATTTTAAAATATGTAACGCCAAAGTTTTTTTTTTTTTTTTAAGTTTAATAATTTTTATTGGACTTATGTATTTGCTCATTTATTTAATATATCTACAGTAGTATTCTAACAAAATATATGATTCAAAATAAATAAACATACAGTAATATAATTTTATTTTTGGCGTAAAAAGAAATGAAAACTGTAATTTTTTATTTTCATGAAACTAACATTTAAATGATTAAAGTTAAAACTATAACTAAATGATTATAAAGTTTAAAGATAATTACATATTGAGTATTTTAGATATAAGAAGTCTTTACATATAAGATGTGTTTCCATACTCATTTTTAGCACTGAAAATATATAGTATGACATATAAACTGTTAACTAAATTGTTAATAGAGAAAGTGAGTATGGGACGCACATATAAAGTGTTCATTATTGTGATAATAGCGGTAAAGTAAATTGATAAAATACAAATAAGCATAAATGTTACTATAAGTTGTTATTACAAAGAAATATATAAAAATAATATTATTAGAAAACATGTATTTTAATTTATTTAAAAAAAATCCAATTTTTGTAAGCTATACAAATATTAAGTAATAAATTATTGTAATTATGACTGTTATTTTTTAGTTTATAGGAAATATCTCATTAAACAACTGCATCCTACGGTCTAGTTCTTGATTAAAATTATTAAGTTCTTCGTTATTATTTTCAATGTTTATAAAATCGTCGACATATTCAGAAAAATCATATAAATCATTTTTACCAATGCAATAATTATGTAGTATACAAGCCGCAACTACTGTATTAGTAATAAAAGATATGTCACGATATTCAGTAAAGAATTTAATGCGACGAAAACGCCCTTTTAATTGCCAGAACGCTCTTTCGACAACTATTCGTGTAGATGAATACATAAAATTAAATTCCCTCTGTTGAGGTGACAAATGCCCGTTATCTCGAAACGGTGGAACAAGCCATTGTAAACATGGATATGCCGAATCACCTAATAGAAATGTTTGGCCAGGAAATAACATTTCTTTATCCATACTAGCTGTTTCATATAAAGATGATCTTCGGAAGACCCGCGCGTCATGAAGCGAACCAGGTTCACCGCGATATATATTAGTGAAAAGCATATCTGCATCTACAACAGCTTGTAAATTTATTGAAAAAAATTTTTTTCGATTACAATAATTACGTGCATTACTGCTAGGTTTCAGAATTTGAATGTGAGTCGAATCTATCGCTCCTAAAATATTACGAATTCCTTGTTTTCTGTTAAATTTTTCACATACCATTATAATCTCATTTTCTTGTGGCCATTTTATAATTATATCTTTTTTTGTTAAAAGCCAAGCTATAATTCGTCGAAGAACTCTAAAAACAGAAGAAATTGAAACATTAAATCTATCAGACATTGTTCGAAGTGGTTCTGTGTTCGCAATATACCACAAAAAAATTAAAAAACTAAGTTTTGCCGATATTAATTTAACGCCAAAAGAATGTGATGGAATATAATGCGAGACTTTCAATTCTTCAATTAAAATCAATGCTGTACGTCGATTTAAACGTAAATGTTCTTTAAATTCCTGGTCCGTCCAAGAATCAACAACTCGAAGATAATCTTCAACGCGATGTCTTTTCCGACCATTCATCAAATTATTAAGCAAAGGGAATAATAATACATCTTCATTTTCCTCTTCATTATTTGAAGATGTACTACTACTACTTGTACTGCTGTTGAGTATACTTAATTCATCACTCGATGAACTCTCATTATTTACAGTTTCCATCAGTTGAATAATTATTTTATGTTTCTTAATATTCATCTGTAAAAAAGATTATAAAAGTTTCATAAAAGTGCTTTAGAATTATGTTTATAATTTATGTAACATTTATTATATATAATATTAAATATAACCTTTTTTTTATATAATTACTTACAATAAATGATTAATTTGCCAATATCCAATATCTTACAATATTTACACTGACTATAGACAATATTTACAATGACAATATATTTTTAATATATTTACAATATATTAAAAAATAAGAAACTGCTGATTTATGCCAAATTGTACAATATAATATAACCTTATAATGATACAGGATACAGTAGTGATGATTCATAAGTAAGGTTAAGATCTAGAAGAAAAAAGCTTACATCAGCGCAAACTAGTGAGTACATCGAAAATTAGATTGTTCCAGTAAGCACCCTTACACTGTGTTCAATTGTGTGACACAGTGTCTTTCTGTGTCTCCTTGCTGGAAAGCACCCATTATTTTGAGAATCGAGTTTTCTTTTCTAGATAATTTTTACTTATGTTCTGTTCAGTTCTGTCTCTGCCGGCTAACGTGCAAGTCGTTATGTATTTGAATAAACTAAAGTGCGTTAACTAAAGTAAACAGACAATAGATTTTGTAAACCTGTCCCATTT